ACGGTAGGCCTATGAAATCTTACGGATTTATGGGATGTACTGTGACCTTCTTGTATGTTATTAAATGTTAGTATAATATTTACAACAACAACAGCTAGTACCCCCCTTTATAAAGTGTAGAGGACGTACACCAAAGGCTGACAGAAAGAAGATAAACTACAGGCCTAAAACAGGCTGAGTTAAGTCCTACCTACCATAGGCCCTCCCTAAACTAGGCCTAGCTTGTCCCTAGGCTAGGGTCCTGGCTGACACCAACAGTCACGCTTCACATGACGTTGATTAAAATTTTGAAAAAAGGGGGAAAAAATTGAAGCATGAAATAAAAAATAGATTGCATAAGAGAAATATTATTAAATAATACCGTAATAAATAAAATATACCATTCCGGCGTTATTGAACTTGGCCAAACTATCCCTGTAATGTAATTAATGTTAAATAATAACAATAATAATAATAATAATAATAATAATAATAATAATAATAATAATAATAATAATAATAATAATAATAATAATAATAATAATTTCAGCATTAATATCTTGGCCTAAGTCTGGTAATCAATAACCTATTTACTAGGCCTACTAACTACTAAAAATATACGCTTTCAGGGGAAAGCACAAAGAGGAATATCTTTTGTGCTATTTCCCCTTAAACGTCGTTTTTTTTAAAATGTTCTCTAATTTCTCCATTGTCTAAGTTCCTAAGGTAGGTTTTAATAACATAATAATTAATAATAATAATTAATAATAATAATAATAATAGGCCTAATAATAATAATAATAAATAGGCCCTAATAATCATTTTGGCATTAATTAACTTGGTCTAGCCTTGTAATCAAGAACCTGCAGATACTATTTACCATATAACTAGGCTTACATTTATACATTCATTCGTGCTCTGCCATTTTGGCAGGTCTTTGGCATCCAGTATTTAGAGCTGCCTATTCTCAGCTCTTCTCTTAATTTTAAAATAACTGTCACCCTGTTTCATTTGATAAAGAAACGCGCTATTCCTTCCTCTTTGTGCTTTCCCCTGAAAGCGTATATTTTTAGTAGTTAGTAGGCCTAGTAAATATGCAAAACCCAGATCTAACTAAAAAAAAATAAATAAAATTGTCACAGTATTTAACTCAAGTTCAAATCACTTTCTATTACTCGTGCAGCTCACATTATATGTCATTTTAAACGACCTATTAGTATTAGCATGGTAACATATTTTTTAGAAATCAGACAGCGACGTTCTCTCAGAAGTTGTTTTGCATTTTGTAGACGTTTAGCTGTTGATGACCTTTTGACCTCCTGAATTCTGCAATATGAGATTTTCGGCCCGAGTCGATTCAGTCGAGACGGCCCGAGTGGAGTTTCATGTAAATGTTTCGTACCAAACATTTGCATAAAACTCCAATCGGGCCATCTCGGATTGACTCGAATCGAGTTCGATACGAGGAACAAGAGCAGGCACTTCACAATGTCGTGACGCTCGAGTTTTACTATCATTGCTCTTTTTCTATGTTTACCTATGGTAGGCCTATGAAATCTTACGGATTTATGGGATGTACGTGAGTAACTAACTGTGACATTCTTGTATGTTATTAAATGTTAGTATAATATCTACAATAACAACCGCTAGTCTTATAAAGTGTAGTACCAGTCGTAGAGGTACAGTAATACCAAAGGCTAGAGAAAAAAAAGATAAACTAGGATATAGGCCTACTACAGGCTGAGATAATTCTGATCTAGGCCCCTCTCTATAATAGGCCTAGGTCCCCCAGTGTCCTAGGCCTGACACCAACAGTCACGCTTCATATGACGTTGATTGAAACTTTGGAAAAAAAAAAATTGAAGCATGAAATAAAAAATGGGAAGTGCATAAGAGAAATATTATTAAATAATAAAAAAATAAATATATCATTCCGGCATTAATGAACTTGCCAAAACCTTTTAATTCATTTAATATGAAATATAATAATAATAATAATAATAATAATAATAATAATAAAAAAAAATAATAAAAAATAATAATAATAATCATTTCGGCATTAATTAAATTAGCCTAAGCCTTGTAATCAAGAAACTACTAGGCCTATAATTAATAACTAGGCCTAAGGGAAGGGGAACCCCTTTGTGTTATTTCCCCTAATTTTTCCATTGTCTAAGTTCCCCTTAATTAAGGTAGGTTTTAGTAACATAATTAATAATAATACTAGAAATTGCAAATTGCAAGTGAAGTGCTGCAAAGTACAACTGCATATAAATGTTCTTCGAACAAAAGTATTTATGCGGGTCATATCAAGTGAAAATAATGAATAATAAAAATATAACAAATAATATGAGACATGACCCATTGTCTATATTAGAACACTCCTCATTGGGTAACAAAGTCGTCATTTTTAATTTTTGTTAAAAAGTGTCTATAGTGGTGAATTATCGTTTAGGTTTTTTAAAATAAATTTTCAAAAATTTCTATGTATGTGGAAAATGTAGTTGATTACCAAAGGTCACAATTTTTATTTTGAAGACTGCATGGTCTAGGAAGTGTACATTTTTTTATGTGGGCAAGTTTCCAAGGGCGGGTTTTTTAGGGGCGAGTTGACTGCCAAAGAGTGTTGCCAAAGTGCGAGCTAGCGTATTGATCACAAGTGCGAGACATCGCAATTGTGAGCCAGCGAGCCATGACGTCACGACAATAGATACGAGACGTTACTCGAGTTGTGCGAGGTATCGGCTGAGATTTGTGGAGTACAATTAAAAAAACAACTACAGTATAGTTCTAATAATGAATTATTGTGATGTTAAATAAACAATGTTAGCTATCAAGGAGCGACGTTGTTTTTTTATTGGGACCTTCGTCCCTTCAAGGCTAGGCCTATATACCATCCTAGCTAGTCTAGGCCTAGAGTAGGATAAGGCTAGCGCGACATGCGGACGTTGGTACGTGTTGGTTGGTGTACAAACGTCGCCTAAAGTAATTGATTTTACCGGGCAGAACGAAAGAAGGAAACTCGCTTTTCAGTCGTCTTAGGCCCTTGTTTTTTGACAAACAATGACCTTTCAGAAGTCAAATTGCTGTCAAGAATATAAATTGGCTGCTTCGCATCAAATAATGATAATAATAATAATAATAATAATAATAATAATAATAATAAACAAATAATAATCATTTCGGCATTATTTAAAAACCTTGTAATCAAGATACTATTACTAGGCCTATAATTAATAGGCCTCATAGGCTACATTCATTGGTTCTCTGCCATTTTAGCAGGTCTTATGGCATCCAGTATTTTAGAGCTGCCTATTCTCAGCTCTTCCCGTAATTTGAAAATAACTAGTTTGTCACCCTGTTTGTCACTTTTCTTCCTTTTTGTGCTTTCCCCTGAAAGCGGCCTTCCAAAACTGTTTAAACTAAGTGATCACATTCTCTTATATACATGACCAATCCAAACTTTCTGCCTATTACGTATAGTGTTTACTAGTTCTAGGCCTAGGTAATTATGCAAAACCCAGACCTAACTAAAGAATAAACATTTTCACAGTATTAACTCAAGTTCAAATAACACTTTTATTACTAGTGCAGCTAATTAATTATTATGTCATTTTAAACGGCCCATTAGTATTAGCATGGTAACATCAATGCATTTTTAAAATCAGACAGCGACGTTATCTCAGAAGTTGTTTTGTAGACGTTTAACTTTCGCGTTGATGACATTCTGACCTCCTGATCTCTGCAATATGAGATTTTCGAGTCGGGTCAGTCGAGACAGCCCCGGAGTGGAGTTTCATGTAAATGTTTCGTACGGAAAATCGCAACCGGTCAACTGACTCCTCACTTCACTTCACCGCCCTCAAACCCAAAGAAAAGCACTCTCAGAACAATGGAAAATATATTTACTATAATGCTTGGTACCGTATCAATCAACAATCAGAATAACGTTTGATATTTCTAAAGTATGACCACTTTTCATCTATTTGAAAATTTATTAATTACAATAATTTTTTTAGTATTTTCATTCATCGCAGATAAATTTTATAGAATTGTATACAACATTATTATTTTTTTTATATTCAAAATATTTTAGCTGAGACTTACAATCTCCTACTATCTTGTGAACATCTGTCTAAAACCAATCGAATAAACCCAAATTTATGTAAAACTGTGAACAATTTGAATTCTTCCGGCATGCGATGTAATTTTGCGTAGTCCATTGATCTGTTTTCATAATAATGATGTTTTAATTGCGTACCGTCCGATGATGTGTAAAACGGATAGAAACCATACAAGGAGATGTCATCGCATAAAGATGCTGCAACTGTATAGAGATAAAGACCTGACGATGGAAATGTTATGTTCCAGAGACTGCATAAATAAAAAAAAAACCATTGTTATTAACATAATATGTATACTACTACTACTACTACTACTACTAATACAGCACAGTAGCTACTAATTACTAATACGTCAGTACTGCAGCTACTACTACTACTACAATACTGCAGCTAATACAAATAGCACAGCTACTAATACTACTACTAAGGCAGTACTGCAGCTACTACTACCAGTACTACTACTACTTGCTGCGGTAGTGGCGAAGGGCAGGGACGGACTATTGCAAATGGAGGGTCTAAATCATCACATAGATGTGTATAAGAGACAGCATTATATGTCATTTTAAACGACCTATTAGTATTAGCATGGTAACATATTTTTTAGAAATCAGACAGCGACGTTCTCTCAGAAGTTGTTTTGCATTTTGTAGACGTTTAGCTGTTGATGACCTTTTGACCTCCTGAATTCTGCAATATGAGATTTTCGGCCCGAGTCGATTCAGTCGAGACGGCCCGAGTGGAGTTTCATGTAAATGTTTCGTACGGAAAAAAAAATCGCGCCCCGAGCAATCAATAGGCATTTTTCGTTTTGACTACGTGGAAAGTCTACTACGAACTAATAGAGCGTAACAGACATCTGCGCATGCTCACAAACCTTACTGGCTAAATCGGCGTTGTGACAGCTTCTGCGACAACCCCAATTTCTGAATTTGGCGTAGTGGCGACTACCCTAATATTGACCAATCAGATCACCGGATTGTTTGGCAAACTGCTGGTAAATTTTTTGTTGGGGTCATCACACAGGTACAGGTCTGTCTCTTATACACATCTAGATGTGTATAAGAGACAGATATATAGGTGTATGTGTGTATAGGCATAGTGTGTGTGTCTGTGAGCGTTTCAGTCAGTTGTATAAGAAAAAGTGCCTAGATGTTAAATTGGCATTAAATCTGCACGTATATCCTAGGTCTCCGTGGTGTAATGGATATGAGTCGCCCTTACAGCTGGAGGTGTCTTCTTCGATTCCCACAACAGATGCTTTTTTCATACAACTGATTTAACAAGAAACTTTTTGTTGAAGGGCTATGCTTGTTACGATTATACCACCTTGTTGCTATTTCACCACGGTTATTATTTGTCCATTTGTTTATCTTGTGTTTACGGTGCTATGCAGCAAACCTTAGATATTATTAATTACTATGATTTCCAAGCTGTAACCTATAATTAAGCTTTTCTAGCTAATCTAGCTCTACTATGAGTGAGCGTTTCAGTCAGTTGTATGAGATAAAGCGCCTGGGAGTTAAATCTCCACTTTTATAGGTCTTCTTGGTCAAATTTATGGCACTCGCCCTGACCGCGAGAGGTTGTATCGATTCCCGCCAGAGACACTACTTTTCATACAACAGATGTTTTAAAAAAAAACTTTCGTTGAAGGGCAATTCTTGATACGATCATACCACTTTTTTCCTATTTCATCACTGTTATTATTATTTATCTATTTATTAAAATTGTGTTTACGGTGCTATGTAGCAAACATTATTTGAATTTTATTTAATATGATTTCTAAACTGCACTATGTGTAAGCGTTTTAGTCAGTTTAATGAGAGAAAGTGCATGGGCGTTAAGTATACACGTATATACTATAATACGTCTCCGTAATCAAATGGATATGACACTCACTGTGATAGCGAGAGGCTGCAGGTTGGAATCCCGCCAAACATTTTTTTTTCATACAACTGATTAAAAATGAGCTTTTCGTTGAAGGGCTAGGATTGGCTAGGATTATGTCACCTTGTTTCTATGTTAGCACTGTTATTATCATTTATCCATTTGTTTATAATGTGCTTACGGTGCTATGCAGCAAACCTTATATAGGCCGTTAAATACACTCCTTAGATGTGTATAAGAGACAGATATATATATATATATATATATTTATATAATTATATAGGATATAAGTGTATATATATATAGGATATAATTGTGTGTGTGAGTGTATGTGTGAGAGCGTTTCAGTCTATTTCAGTCAGTATGTGTGAGCACTCAAGTTGTAATGAGAACTAGTGGTCTTTAATTCGTAATGATATCGTACGGTCATATGTAATATTCTAAACGGTCAAGATAGCGAGACATTGCATGTTCGATTCCCACCAGAAGAGGGAGGAGAGTTTAATGTTTATCTCTTTGTTGTATAATTCATTTAAAAAGTACATTTTCGAAGATCCCGTTTTGTCGTTTAATGCTGAAGGAGAGGGTGTAGGAGTCTGAGCGCTTCACATTACCGTATTATACACCGGTCATTGGATTAAACGCCTATAGAACACAAACCAAGCTCCCTGAGGCAGTATTCCATAACGTTGCAGCAGCTAAATCAGCACATTTTGGCATTTCACCCTACCAGGTACCCATTTATACTCCTGAGTGGAGAGAAACAATGCAGATAAAGTGCCTTGCCCAAGGCCACAAGTGGAATGCACAGCGGGGGGGGGGGATTGAAACCCCGACCTTAAGGTTGGGAAACCAAACCGTTCCTACTGCGCCAAACCACTTCCACGATATTAGATAGATATTATCGATAATATACCGCTAATACCTTATAATACGGCTTCTAATCGACGTGAAAGGGTATGCAATCTTTGGATTTATGTTGTGTTTTTGCAGCTGCGATAATACTCCGAGATAAGTTTCCTTCGATGTTTTACCACTAAGTTTGGAAAGCCAGATTATTGATTGGTCATAAACTTTAAACCTATTCACCATTTCTTCAAAACATGGATTCGATGAATTTTCTAAACAAGAGGTGGCAATCCGTGAAAGTTCATGATTTAATGAAACAAAGTCGTGTCTGTATCCAACGTCTTTTTCGAATCCTAAAATTGCAGCGATATTTGAACGCAATACAAACTCATGTGAATCGATTTCGCATCCACAAGAGCTATTGAGTAGGATGCCAGAATTTCCAATGACTGCACAAGACCGTTTTTTCGGAACTGTTGAAAATATCTTTGGAACTTCTTTCCATTTTGCATTTTGAATCAAAGTAATTGACAGCGCTTTAAAGTCATCTCTTGATTGTTCTTGATTTTTTCTCCTCTTTATTCGTTGCCTTCGTTGTTTCCTTTTTAGTTTCTTCTTTTTCATTGTTTGATTTTCAATCAAAATGACAAGTTCGTGTGGAAGAAGACGTCTCAACGAGTACAATCTAAAAATAGAATTGATAATTAATTAATGCATAGCAAACCAACAATAAGAAATTTTCTGTGCCATTACTTTATTTGGTGTTATCCTTTTCATCTCGTCTCAGTGGCCATAGCCCAGCAAACACAATACGCTAATAAGAAAAACAACGTCAGCAAAACGTTGCAACAAATTCTAATAGGTCTTTAATTACCGTTGTAAACTGCAAGTTTATAATCGTATTAACGTTATTAATACATAAATTTGAAATTTGTTACCTAGGAAACTTGTACACTTTCAGGTGATCTAACTTTATATATAGAATAAATGTGATTTTTAAAACTTTTTTCTATTCTAAATATTGTGCCAATATATCGAAAGTAATAATGAAGCGCCATGATACGTGTTATCACACCACACAGGTTAACTACGGTACGTTTTTGTCCGTTTACGCAAAAGTGTTCTAAGATAAAGATCTGTCTATGTTTAATGTCTACTTACGTTTTCTCGATTGCTGAATAACTAATGTTAAAATCGTAATTATCAGACGCATTAAACTGTTTAGACGTCCAGTAGTTTCTACAAAATAATTTGTTTACAATATTGTTTTGATTTGATTTGACTTATTCAATTTAGGCAATAAAATGACATTACAATACACATAGATACGAAATGAATATTAAAAGAATACCAATTCCAAGGATTGTCAAAGGAAAACTGAATCACTGTTAAATACACTCCTTTAACAGAATTTAACTTAAATCTATATCAATAAATCTATATCAATAATTAAAATATAATAATTAAGTATTTACCAAATCAAAATTAAATAAATTATAAGATTAGGCGGGAAGGAAAATAATGTTGAAAATTTTCCAAAAATAACACGGTCTAGCAAACAATCCGGGCCGGGGGCCCGGGGGGCTCACTCTTAATTATTTCTATACGGGTAGGTGCCGCATTTAAGGGGGTATATTTGAGGACTTGGTAGCACAAGTGTAGGAATTTATGGAAGAGTTTCAGCATTATATAGGGTATATTTGTGAGGACTTGGTAGCACAAGTGTGAGAAATACCAGGTAAAATTGGTAGTTAAAGTGTCCTGCCCCGTCCCGTATCATCAAAGCAGTATGATTTTCCACACGATTTTTTTCCTTCTAAATCTGTGCCAAACCTACAGTAGAGATCGCGAACGGACATAACTACGGTCTTATTCGCCATCGGGAACCAGAACAAGTTCAATTTGTTAGGTTACATGGTCGTAATAGTAGTTCAACCGATACTGGATTTTGGTAAATGATAGTTCAAGTCCCTAATAATTTCCAGTAGAATAGGTAGCGCAAGTGTCTCATGTCTTGGAGTGGCTGCTGTAAACCCCCGTAAGGTTGGTATGCAAGTGAACCCCAGGGGCCGGGGGACGGGAGGGGTATTGGTTGCTAAGTGTTACACCCTCAGTAAGCTCATTTAATCACTAGTAAAACTATTTTAGTGATTTATTTATTTGGGTTTAGTGATTTACTTCGCTGCTGCAGTGCTTTGGGAGAGTGAGGGTCTCTGTCCACTCCTCTCTTCCCCAACCACGCAAGCTGGATTTGCCACAGTAGGGCTTCAGTATCTAATAACGAATGTCGTAAAACAATTATACAAGTTTGTGTGGAAGCAGACGTCTCAAAGAGCACAATCTCATAATAGAATTGATAATCAATTATTGCATAGCGAATCAGCAATCATAAACTTCTGTGGTACCATTACTTTATCTAGTATCATCATTTTCATCTTGCCAGTGGTCATAGCCCAGCTAGCAAACGCAACAAGTTAATAAGGAAAACAACGTTAGCAAAACGTTGCAACAACGTTACTTATACAATTATAATAGGTCAACAATTACCGTTGTAAACTGCAACTTTATAATCGTATTAACGTTATTACCTCCACCAATGAAGTTGGCAGGAGGTTATGTTTTTGCCCCTGTTTAGTTATTTATTTATTTTTCTGTCGGCATATTTGTTGTGAACAGCCTACCATAGTTTTTATCCGAAATTCATCAAACTTGGCGAAAATGTTCCTTTACCTAAGATCTGATTACATTTTGAAGGGTCAGGGTCTAAAGCAGGGGTGGGCACACAAGAATTATGCTCTTGTTGGTGTTCACTGAATGCAGTCACAGTGTAAGGCTGTATTTACACATGACGGCAGCGCTTGTCGTTTGATGTTATTAATTGTTGATAATAGGGAGATAAGTTATATGCAACTGCATAAATATTGTAGTTTATAGGATAATATAGCATCTAAGGTATAATAACTTGTACTAATGATGCTTCGCACTATATTGGAAGCTACTAGTTACCTATACATAGTTTTCATCCGCTTATCACATGTACGGCTACTGAGATTGCTTCACGGTTGAGTGAACAGGCATTGAATATTCATTATTTATGGTAAATGTAGAAACTATTGTTAATAACCAAATATGTTGCTATGTGGTTGACTATTTGGTCTAACTTGCATTAAATTAAGTTTCTTAATAATCAGAACAAGGAATAAAATGTCGTAGCACGTTTATTTTCGAATTTGGTATAAATGACATTTGTCTATATTGAGGATAGAGTTAGCATTTAATAATGCTATAGAGAAAAAGTTATACAGACAGGTAATTGTTGTTAAACTAATATTTATTGTATTTCAGATGTTAATTTGTATTGTAGCATCATTTGGATAACAGTTACATTTGTATTAGTAGCTGTAAGGAATCTGTATATGGTACGGAGTGAGCAAAATTCACGGTATGCGTGCTTCAGACTATGATAAATAATACTTTGCTTGAAGTTTTGTTATAGATAATTGTCACACGTTCATAAGTACAGTAATGTATTCACATATGTTTAATTTAAGGAGATATAACTCGCCTTATAGTATTATAACTTGCAGAAAAGGTTTATACTAGAATAACATAGAAATATTCATGTATATTGAGCAATAGAGGGCGTCTTGACAGTAACAGACTTTTTTCAAATTTTGAGAAACCCTGTATCATAAAAGTCACTAAATCGGTGGTTATTTTACGTTTTATTGTACTATGCCCTGTGCATATTAAAACTTAAGTACTCAACGCTTCAACAACCTGTTGGAAAAGGTCAGATTGAAAACGAGAGTGTTTTTCCAGCACCTACGAAACTAGGCCACTCACACAGTCGGATACGGCATAATACGTTAGACAATTACGGGCAACCGAGCGGTTTGTGTATGGTATCGTTACGGTGAAACATCTGAGCTAAGGCGGCACTTTAAACGTATGTATACGAAGCTCTGCGGCTCAGGGAAAACAAAATACAGTACAACACTGTACAAATTCTTTAAACGCACGGTAGGATTGTTCATTTTTTTATTGTTTTTTTATACCGCATATCATCATGCCTAAGCAGTACCCGGTGAAACGGGTATATAATGAACCAGATAAATCACCTCCAAAACTGAAACCGAAACCTCTAAACCATGAGTTATTATCACCAAATGAGATTATTGAGAATTCACCACCAGTTCTAAAAAAGTTTTGTGACGAATATCCCAACAACCCAACAGCAAATCGTTAATGATATTGATATCATTGCTGAAACTGAAAACTATATAGATAATGTAGTACACAAATTAGGCCTGCCAAGACAAACACCAGAAAAAGAAATTGAAGAAAAAAAAAACACATCTCATACAGATTGTAAATATGCGATCAAAAAGTTAGAAATGTTTTTCATGGATATACTGGTTAATGCAATCAAAGAAAACAGTGAGCTAAAAATGAAGCTTGTCATTGACGAAAACATTAGGCTCATGAAAGAAAACGATGACCTAAAATCAGAGATAGAATCTTTAAAACAAACACAAAAACGAAATTCAATGACGACTGAAAGCCATAAAAAGTCTGAGGAAAATATATAAGTAAGAAAGGATCTCGACAAAACGAATGAAAGAATAAAACACCTGAGAAAAGACAGCAGAAAATTACAAACTGAATGATATTCAATCAATAAAAACATATGAAAAACCAATGGCTGATAAAGAAAAACATTACAAAAGCAGAAACAGAACGAAAATTATGTAAAGCGAAAGACGAAGCATATGAGCTAAAGAGAACTCAAATTGCAGTTGACACCTCTGATTATGAAAAAGTTCAGAAAACGAAAAAACAACAAACATACGCAGATGCGACAAAAAGCTCACTGGTGCATAAAGAAAACGTAAATCGCAGTACAAGCGTAGGGAAAAAGAGGGGATCATCCAAGAAACCATCATTAACTGTAATTGGAAACTCGCATCTAAAAACCATAGATGCCAAGCGTCTTCTCCCAATGGCAAACGTCACGATGAGAGCAGCGTACACGCTCTCGGAAATTGGCGACGCGCTTGAAAATCTCCAAGAAGACCCAGACTGTATCGTTATACATGAAATCACAAACACTATTAAAGACACGAGCGCAAAGGAGTGTGCACATGCCTTGTATAATACGACAAAAAGTTATGCCATCGAATTCCCAGATACCCATTTCGTCATTCCTCTGGGTCTACCGAGAGTAGGAGAACTCAATTTCAAAGCAGAAATGGTAAACGCCGAAATCAAGCACGCAATGAGACTTGACAATCTACCTAACCTGACATTTTGTGATAACAGCAATTTTCTTAGAAATGGAGATATTATTTACTATTTACTAGCCCGAGATGGATATCATTTATCTCATGAGGGTACTAGGCTTCTTGCCAGCAACATTAGATGTAAAGTTCAGGCAACTCTTAAATTGAGACGTCCGAATACAGGACTCCCTCGATATTGATATTGTAATTTTACTACAAATTAGATTTGACCTATTACCATGGAATGTAACATGAATAATATTGTAGACCAAGAAAACATAATACTTCCATTCCACGATCTTAATGATATTGAATTTCTTCAGACAGCCTACACTGGAAATCATATTGTTATAAAGCAGATATTAAATAATATAAACAAAGGCTTAAAATTCGATCCTCTAACTTCCAGTGATGATTATGATTATGATAACGAAAATATTAAAATTGATTTGCAGCTTCCATACTTACAAAGTAGTTTATCCGATAGAATGGATTCCCTCAACAAATGTAAATACTTTGACATAGATGACTTACATAATTATTTTAAAGACATTGACAAAACAGAAATTTCAATGATTCACTCCAATACCAGAAGCATAAGTAAAAATTTGGAAGGACTTAAAACGCTTCTTAACTTAATAGATCATAAGTTTACAATTATCGGGGTCACCGAAACATGGCTAAACCAAATGTCTCACTGTCCAACCCTTCCTGTTTATACTTTTTTTCACGTTGATAGAAAAAACAAAAGGGGAGGCGGAGTTGGTATTTACATTTGTGAGGGGTATAATGTTATTGAACGAAAGGATATCAAAATAGACAACTGTGAAGTAAACAGTGAATACCTTTTTATCGAAATAATTAGTAAAAATAAAAAAAATGTAATTATTGGAATTGTATATAGACCACCTGATCTCTCTGTTGAAAATTTCCAAGCCAATCTGATGGAAC